TACCTGTCAACAATCACACAAGTAAGGTTATATGAAGTGCAATTAACTCAAACCAAATATATATAAAGGAAGAAGATAGAAGACAATCATGGAGTGATGAGTATGGACCTCCCGAAACGGCAATGGACAATGCTAGCTCGCTTAGGGGTGTAAACGAGCCGAGCTGAGCCTACCGTTAATGATAGCACTGCTCGAGCTCGAGCTCGGCAATTGTCGAGCTGCTCGAGCTCGAGCACGAGCAGCTCGATTGTTCGAGCTCGAGCTCGAATTCGAGCCTGAACTCGAGCTCGAATTCGAGCTCGAGTTTAGGCTTGAATTTGAGCTCAATTTTGATGTCGAATTTGACCTGTTTGATTTAAAATTTAAACTACTTTGTTTTATGACTTTTATCCATACATAATTATTAAAGTATTTTAATTTCCCTCCCCTAATTATTATTTTTATATACTAAATATAATATAATTATATTATATATTATATATTATATATTATATAATATATTATAAGGCTCGTGAGCGGCTCGTCGAGTCGCGAGCCTACAATACCTAAGCTCGGATCGTGCTCGTTTAATCCACGAGCTGCTCGAGCTCGAGCCGAGCTCGATTTTGACCGAGTTCGAGCCGAGCATTGACCGAACTGCTCACGAGCGACTCGCGAGCGGCTCAGCTCATTTACACCCCTAAGCTCGCTCTCGGACAAGGACGCCGGCGAATCCGCATGAGAGAGCGATGCAGTAGCCGAGCTACGAGGATCGACCTCGGGGACGGGAGCACGAAGAATTTCGAAGGCGAGCTCTCCGAGTCCTCCTCGGCCTCGGACGCCGTGTCCACCGAGATGGTGTCGGGGCCGGGATCGGGGCTGAGGTCGGTGATGTCATCGCGACGGCTCGGGGGGCGGGGGTGGAAGCAAGGTACCAGGGGTAAAGCCTAGACGCACCATGTTCTCCTTGATCAACATGGGCGCTATATAAATACGGGGACCCGGGTGGCGGAAGGCATTCACATCCCTCATCAGAATCTCACTCTCCCGGGGAGTCACGTGCTTGCGAAAGTGGGTGTTCCACGAGAATGCGAAAGGCAACTCGGGACCCACGGAGACATAAACAAACACAGGCTTCCACTGGTGGTGTGATGATTAAATGTCTTGGAAGATTTTCATGTGCGGGCGAGCCGAGAAGTCCACCCACACCTTACTCGCTCGTCCCAAAGAGACAGTGACGTGGAAAAGGAAGTTGAACAAATCAAGATATGGCTCGACACGGATCTCCTGGCACCTCAAGAGGAAGGCCAAGACCACCTAGTGGGAGTTTGGGACCAACTGACCCGGACCGATCTCATAAAAATTGAGTAGGTCCACCGTGAAAGGACGGATAGGAAACCGAAACCCATTCAGCAAAGACAAGACATGAATGCCAAAGTGATGGCGACTCGGGGGCTCCGTGACATTATTGTCAGGCAAGGGCTCCACTACCTCAGCACCTGACTCCACGGCTTTCACGACCCTGTCCAACTGACCACGTGAGAAGTCGACAAGGGTGGTGCGCGGAGTATCCTGCCCTAGGCCGGTGTATTCCACCGGTTCGGGGTCGGCAGCAGGGTCGGGGACAACAATCGGGAGAGGATGGCCGGGCACAGGGAGCGCATGGAGGTCGGTAGCTTCGTTGCTAGGAGAAGGAAACTCGTTGGTAGAGTTGGGTTCATTCATATCGACCTCACTATCACTTATGGAATCTAGCACGTCGAGATCAAAGCTTATGGACATGCAAAGGTAGGGGGCCAAAAAAGGGGGACGCGCGTGCACCTCAAGGGGGGTCGGCCGGAGCACCCACCCGTGGACCCGGGGGGGCGGCCGGAGTGGTTACCGTTGGCCGCGGTGGCAACAGCTCGGCGAACGGCTGCGGCTCAGTTGGAGCACGGCGGCGACCGATCGAAAAAAAAAAATGCAAAGGAGGGGCGGACGACCGAAAGGAAAGAGGAAGGAGGAGAAACTAATCGACCACGAAACCGAAACTTGACTTGGGAACCCCGGGAGAGCACTTGTGACTTGAAAGGAGCTTGAGAGAATTTTTTGGTGAGGATGAGTGGTGGTGGCCGAAAATATGAGGGGGAAGGGGGGATTAAATAGAGTGTTGGGGGAGTGAGGGAGGAGAGAGAAGGGGGGAAAAGGGTTGACCAAATTTTGAAATTCAAAAAAGGGGTTGGGAAGAGAGAGAATTGATAGTGATGGGATAAGAAAAGTTTGTGGGATTTAATAGGGAAGGGTTTCCAAGACTTTTATAGCGAAGTGTTACACTTTTGTAAGTATTATAGTTCATCTGAAAAGAGTTTTGCAGAGGAAGAATTTTAACTGCGTTATAATTCTTGGATGGGGTCGGCTAAAATTTGGAGCTCGAAATTTTCCACCTGGGGCTCGGGTCGGCGTACGGATACTCTCATTCGTTGACTTCCACTCGCAACGAAGAGAGTGGGGGACTCATGACGGATATATTATACCTACGACCCGACCCGGGGTAGCAACACGGACCTGGAGCACCACGTTGGATCCCAAAAGCACCCGGCCCACCATGACGGATATATTATACCCACGACCCGGCTCGGGGTAGCAACACGGACCCGGAACACCACGTTGGAGCCCAAAAGCACCCGGCCCACGGCACCATGGAGGTGCCCCGACCTAAGCCGAGTTACGTGGGGCTCGGGTCGGGTAGCAGGACCCTACCCGAGCTCGGTCCATAGCGAGCTCGAGACCCGACCTGACCCAGTCCGCCCGGTCAAAGGGCGATCTAACCCAATTGTTATTGCATGGACCATGGTCCATCCAACTTGGCTGAACCATGGTCCAAAACTACACTGTTTGATCATTAAAAAAAAAATTCGGATCGTTAGTTTTACTGCGTTAGCGTTAGCCATTGTTTCCTTTTCTCATCCTCCTTCGCCGGTCATTTGTTTCGTTTTCTACCTCCTCCGCGATTTGCAGCCGCAACTTCTTCATTCACCGCAATTTGCTTCGTTCACCGCGATTTGCTTCGACTCTGCGATTTGCATCTTCCAAGAGTTGCTTCTTCTCCGTCATCATGAATAATATCAGTGATTCAAACAACAGAGTTGATGCGATTCAAGTAGATGATGATATTACAAGTATGTATAGTGTTTATATGTAATTTAGGTTCGGTTTTATTTTGAATTTTGATTAATATTGCGTATTTTTTATATTGTAGAAGATGTGAATGCTTTGATTCATGTGGAACCTATTTCTCCCATTGATGTTGAATCAATTCCAGGTTTGTCTTCCACAATGCTTTGATCTATTGTGCCTAGGTTTGTTTTGTTGGTTGTGTGAGGATACATAATTTTTATTCACATGGTACATAATATTTGTTCACAGGGTACATAGTTTTTGTTCATAGAGTGCATTATTTTTGTGCAAAATATACTACATTGTTGAACATGCTTAATGTGTTTATTAGATATATTATTTATATGCTTAATGTAAATTATTTACAGTTGATGGCACTTCGGGGGGTGCAACAGATGAGAGTTCACCAATTGGAGTTCAAGCTAGTTCTTCTAATGCTATGGATGAGAGTTCTTCAATTCCAGGTTCTTTTTAAAAAAGTTTTTTTATTATTATCTACTTATTATTAGTTGTTTTTTTAATTATATTGATGGAATGATTCGTTTTTTATTATTTTTTTGGTGTTACAATAAAGTATTTGCATGTTCTGTTGTGAATACTGTATTTCTATTAGAGATACATTATTTCTGTTCAATAAGTACATTATTTTAATCCACAGGATACATTATTGTTATGCATGATTTATCTGTACATTCTGTTGTGTGCATTCTGATTTGAAACTTGTGCTTCTAATTAAGGTACATTATACCTGGTCAGTAGGTACATTATTTTAATCCACATGGTACATTATTTTTATGCATGATTTATCTGTACATTCTGTTATGTATTGATTGGAGTTTTTTCTTTTAGTGAATATCTTATTTCTTTGTAGAGTATGGCTGAATTTATTCGGCACACCCCACCACCCCTCTACTTAGAAATCTGATATTCACTAAACATAATATCAATGTGTCATGCTAGTAACGTGTTAGTTGTATTATTTTTTTGAAATTTACAGTTACTCAGGAGTTGTTGGGGATTACAGTTACCTCAATTGAAGAAGCATTTAATTTATATAATGACTATGCTTTTAGATTGGGATTCAGTGTTAGGAAGGGCAAGCAGTACTATGTTTCCGGTAGTCAGACTATTAAAATGAAGAAATTCCACTGTGCAAAGAGTGGTTTTAAGGACAACAAAAAAAAGGATTCAAGGTCATATTCAAGGGTAGACACACGAACAGGGTGTAATGCGTTTTGTCAGTTTGATTTGGCTTCTAATGGACAGTTGATTGTGACAAAACATGTAAAGGATCATAACCCTGAGTTGTGTCCACCTTCTAACAGCTATCTTCTTCGGTCACAGAGAAGTGTTGTTGATACTCAATTGGATTATTTAAAAAACTTGAAAAGGAGTGGGGTCGCATTGTCGGATGACATTCGATTTTTGAAACACCAGTCTGGAGGTTCACCTTTGGTTGGATTTACACCAAGGGATGCTTATAATAGCCTGCATACAGATTCGATAAAGAGATTAGATGGGACCGATTCAAATTAACTAATTGAGATCTTTAGACAAAGGCAGTCGAATGAACTCGACTTTTTCTTTGATTTTGAATTAGATGAGGATGCAAGACTGTATAATTTTTTTTGGTGGGATACAAGAATGAAGGAGGATTTTGTGTTGTTTGGTGATTTGGTAGTGCATGACACAACGTATCGTACTAATAAGTATGATATGATTTGTGGTCCCTTTGTTGGAATGAATCACCACTGTATGAATATAATGTTTGGGTGTGGGTTTTTATTGAACGAGAGGACTGACTCATTGTTTGGTTGTTTAAAACATTTTTGCGAGCTATGGGTGGTAAGTGTCCACAAACAATCATGACCGATCAATGTGCTACTATGTCTGCTGCAATTTCGCTGGTTTTCCCAAGTGCAAGGCACAGGCTTTGTATTTGGTATATTGGAGAGAATTCAAAGAAACATATTAAATGTCTAAGGAGTCAAAACGGTTTTATGGAGTTATTTAATTTTCTATTGAAGTACACAGACACAGAAGCTGAGTTTGAATTTTATTGGAATAGGTACATATGCTATTAAATTTATCATTTTATATATTTGATTTGTCATTCTTGCATTGTGACATAGATTACTTTGTGCTTATAAAATCAAACACGTGATGTTTTACCTTTTATGTTAAGTTGGAAATTGTAGTGTTTAGAAAATGTACTTTATGGGTTATAATAATGTACCTTATGAATGCTGAAAATGTATCTTCGCAGCAGCAATTTGATAAAAAAAAAATCCTTATTTTTCTAGTTGCATTTAAAACTTAGATATTTTCCTTGTTCTCTATGTGTGATTCCTTTGTAGCATGTAGTAATTTGTACTAATAAAATGAAGTGTCATACAGTTTTACCTTTCATGTTAAGTTGGAAATTGTAGTGTTTAGAAAATGTACTTTGTGGGCTATAATAATGTACCTTATTAATGCTGAAAATGTATCTTTGCAGTCACACTCAGTTTTGTTGTTTTCAGGTTGGTGACGGACTATAATTTCCATAAAAATGTTTGGTTAAACAAATTGTATGATATTAGGGAGAAGTGGTGCCCTGCTTTTAATAGAGATTACTTCTCTGGAGGTATCTTATCTTCCCAACGGAGTGAGACTACAAATCATTCAATTTCAAGAAGGTTATCTGAGTTGTCTGATTTTTACAACTCTTTTGTTAATGTGGTTTCTGAGTGGAGGAGCAAAGAGAATGGGGAAGATGTGCGGTGTTCTCAAGGGTTGCCTACAATGGCATTGGATCATGTAAAACTTATTTTACATGCTAGGAATGTATACACTATTGAGGCTTACTACTTGTTTGAGCAACAATTTTTGAAAGGTGTTGCTTGTCATCAAGAGAGTGTAGCGAGCAATGTTGATGAGCTTAAATATCACATTTGGCGGCCGGATATTGACATTATTCGGCATGAGGTTTGTTTCAATATTAAGGATATGAACATATGTTGTACTTGCAAGTTTTTCCCCGAGATAGGTATTCTTTGTTCACATTGTTTGCGTATTTTGAACATTCATTGTGTTGAAAACATTCCTGAGAAATATATTTGTAGAAGGTGGACAAAAAAGGTTGTTGAACATAGGATTATGGACATTGCATCTTCTTCTAGTAGTTTGACAGTTGCTTCTCCAATTTGGGTGATAGATATGGGTAGAAAATGAAAATGGCAAAGGTTAGTTCTATCAAGTCAAGACAATTGCAAAGCTTGACAAGTATGTGAAAACCTTATTGAAGATGGAAGAAGAAGGATTGAATGTGAGGTTGGTCCTATTTGCTTTGATGATTTGGAAAGATCTATGCGAAGTAGTGGTATACAAAATCCAGAACGAAGTGGTGTGAAAGGTGACCGTAATCGAAGGCTAGTTAGTACAGTACAAAAAAAGTATAATCAAGCAAGTGGCCGAAAAAATTATGCAAAATGAGTTGAATCTAACACAAAGGCTGCCGTCCAATCTTCTATGCAGGAAGTTGTGTCTAATATTGTTGGTAGTGGGTATCTTGTTCATCCTAATGACACTACAAGTTCAGAATTGATTTGTGTTAGGTCTAAGTCTCAAAATAATTCAAATGATAATTAGGAGTTGTACTGAAATTTTGTTTACTTATATATGCACTTCACATATTATGAATTGGTTTTATATTGTGTGAGTTATTTACAGATTATGAATTGGTTTTATATTCTGTGAGTTTTTAAAGGAAGTATTTGCACTTGACAGATTATGAACATTTGTGTTTTATGCAATAATAAAATCTTTTCTGATTTGGTAATTTATTCAGTGAGTTATAATAATGTACCTTGTGCCCTAAAATAATGTACCCTATTTGTTAACAAAATGTATCCGTGCAGACTTGATTTTGGGTAGTGTACTCTATGGGTTAGAATAATATACCTTGTGCTCTAAAATAATGTACCCTATGTGTTATCAAAATGTATCATAGTTAAGGTCACAATTGATCACCACTTAGAGTCTTAGAGATAACGGGTGGTATACTCCTCAACCCCAACCCCATCCACGCCACCATAGAAAATTAGGGGAGGGGTTCGTTGGTAAAACGAACTATTATTTTATATTTTCAAAACGTATTTTAATAATTTTTAAATTTGACTTTTAATTTTATGTTACTTTTTATAGTTTCTAAAAACATATTTTTTGGTTTTATGCATTAATAAAATGTTTTCTGATTTGGTAATGTATTCAGTGGGTTATAATAAAGTACCTTGTGCTCTAAAATAATGTACCCTATTTGTTAACAAAATGTATCATTGCAGTTCACTTGATTTTGGTATGTACTCTGTGGGTTAGAATAATGTATCTTGTGCTCTAAAATAATGTACCCTATTTGTTAACAAAATGTATCCTTGCAGTCTTGATTTTGGGTAATGTACTCTATGGGTTAGAATAATGTACCTTGTGCTCTAGAATAATGTACCCTATGTGTTATCAAAATGTATCTTAGTTAAGGTCACAATTGATCACCACTTAGAGTCTTAGAGATGACGGGTGGTATACTCCTCAACCCCAACCCCGTCCACGCCACCATGGGAAATTAGGGGAGGGGTTCGTTGGTAAAACGAACTATTATTTTATATTTTCAAAACGTATTTTAATAATTTTTAAATTTGACTTTTAATTTTATGTTATTTTTTATAGTTTCTAAAAACATATTTTTTGGTTTTATGTATTAATAAAATGTTTTCTGATTTGGTAATGTATTCAGTGGGTTATAATAAAGTACCTTGTGCTCTAAAATAATGTACCCTATTTGTTAACAAAATATATCCTTGCAGTTCACTTGATTTTGGTATGTACTCTGTGGGTTAGAATAATGTACCTTGTGCTCTAAAATAATGTACCCTATTTGTTAACAAAATGTATCCTTGCAGTCTTGATTTTGGGTAATGTACTCTATGGGTTAGAATAATGTACATTGTGCTCTAGGATAATGTACTCTATGAGTTATCAAAATGTATCTTAGTTAAGGTCACGTGTTCATGAATTGATCACCACTTAGAGCCTTAGAGATGACGGGTGGTATACTCCTCAACCCCAACCCCGTCCACGCCACCATGGGAAATTAGGGGACATGGGAAATTAGGGAAGGGGTTCGTTGGTAAAACGAACTATTATTTTATATTTTCAAAACATATTTTAATAATTTTTATACTTGACTTTTTAATTTTATAGTACTTTTTGTAGTTTCTAAAAACATAATTTTTGTTTAATGCATTAATAAAATGTTTTCTTATTTGGTAATGTACTAAATTGGTTAGAATAATGTACCTTGTGCTCTAAAATAATGTACCCTATGTGTTAACAAAATGTATTCTTGCAGTTGTAATCACTTGATTTTTGGTAATGTACTATGTGGGTTAGAATAATGTACCCTATGAGTAACTCCACAATGAAAAGCAACTAACTAAAAAGCAATTAACACATAATGAAAAGCAAACAGTTCAAATGAACAATTTCAGCATATCTTGATATCACTAGCTAGCACCCAATTTAACACCATCTCTGAATTGTTCAAACAAAAATTTCATCTAACACAAAAACCAACAATATTCATCTAACATTTTAGAACCATCAATTACAATGATCATTGTCTACTTATAAAGATTACGGGCTGCCTGTAATATGGATTGTTTGTGCTCATTCATTGGTAAAAATAATGTCAGCAGCATATTTTTCCCTCAAAGATGTCAAGAATATTGCATGCATGTATATTCAAACAAAATGACAGTTATATAAGTCCAATTAGGTATTTATAAAAATAAAAAAACATGTACATTACCCTTAAAAGTCTGCATATGACGCATGCAATAAACTCCACAATCAGTAACATTAGTGGCATTTTTCCAAGACATCTTCACCAATTCATGGTTAAACACATCATCCTCATCATCATGCTTTGTCATTTTGTTTAACAAAGTTATGATCCTTTTATATTTGCAATATTCTTTGAATGCATTAACCTGCACATTAGTTAATGTTCATTATAATATATCAAGTACCTAACAGTATTCAATTTAAACTTATAACAATCTTAGATTTTGCAACTTACTAGGTTTTGATCACAATTATCATATCTTTGTAGAAAATTGGTATTTTTGCCCAGTGTTCTATTGTCAATTACTTGGACAACCCTTTTCTTGAAGTTCAAGCACATGGCGAAGTAGTGATGATAGCGTATAACAGCGAAGAAAACCTAAATACATATAATTTTAGAAGTATATCCAATGAGTGTATATAAAATGAATTTCACATAATTTATTAATTTATAATATTATGCATGATAAATTATCAGTTCAGCATCAGAGATCTGATGTCAATGTTAGAGGCCAATTTAAGCTCATAATCCAAACATTCATTGAATCGTCTTTGTTTTTCCTCTGCAGATAATACTTTTTTCCGTTCAGTAGCATCATCAATTTCCATCTGAACACAAAATTATATTACTAAGTAAACATATTACACCATCAAATTTTGTATTATATACACCTAAGCTTTATGTACACAAATAATGTACTCTGTGAACAAAAATTATGTATCCTGTGAACAAGAATAATGTACTTTGTGCAAGAAAAATAACTTTTTAACACATATTAAAGACAAAAATTAGTATTAAACATAATTAAAGTGAAAACCTACTCTATTGGATGTTGAATAGAGGGGTTCATGAATGCAAAATCAAACAGCATCTTCTCTCTCGTAGAGACAAAGGAGAACTTTTCATTGTTTTGCGTCCAATATGGAGACATAAATCGCAATAGAACATTTTTCAATTTTCTTTTCTCTCTCTCCCCATGTTGGACATTCTCCCTCTCTGATTCCTCAAGTGCACTGCCACATAAAAATAATGTACCCTACTCATTAAAATAATGTACATAGTGACCAGAAATAATGTATCTTAATCAGAAACACAACTTTTAGAGTTTAACTTACATGTCAAACAATGTTTGTTCCTTTTCTGTGCTTCTTTCCTCACTAGGGAGTGTGGTAGCTGTTTCGTTTGGTTTTTGAATATCCGGGGGGTAGGTGTTAACAAATTGAAGCTTGGTGGTGAAAATGTTTCAGGTTCTTCGGTGATTCTGGTGGCCTTTTCCAATGCTTCTACTGCTGCCTTTTCCAATGATGCAACTGCTGCAAGAAAGCTCTCGCTGCTGAAGATTGGATCATCGTCCAATAATGTCGAAGTCTTGTCAGGCTGGGAAGTTGAAGCAATGTTCAACATATCAGACATCTTGCTGAAAGTCTTCTTTATAATTTCTTGTCCGGTGTTTTTGCTCCCAACTTCAGCCATTACTTCCCCAAATTCAACTATGGCTGCAGTCAGTTTCTTCATTCCCATAGATATCTTCTCTACATCACTCATTTTAACTTTATCACCAACTGCCTGTGCCTCCACCCCATCCCTAACAATGTTGTTGTTTTCAATCTCAGCAACCGATTTCCTAACTCTATCCAAGACTTTTCCCCTGCCATACCCACCAGAATTCTTTTTATCTACTAATCTTTTTTGGATCATATCCATTGTCCAAACTGATATCGCAGGGTATTTCCTTGGGATTTGCTGCCCTTTAAATTGCATCCTATCAAGGTATGAAACCTAAATAAAATAAAATAAAATAAGTTAGTATGAAAGCAAAAAATGCATTAATAAAATAAGCAACATAAATTGAATTAAAGGTATTACCATCAAGAAGACCAATGGTCCAGTGAAGAATGTACTTTTTGACTTCTTCCATTTCTCCACTGTTGTAGTAAGACTATTAAAAATGTACCTACACCAATTCAAATTCTTGATGTTTTTCACGTTTACCAATGAGTACAAAATTTTGAAGTTTGTTGTCCAATTAACGTGACCCTTGAACAAACTAGAAACAACAAACACCACGAAATCCCTTTTGAACATGTCCCTGTGGTCTTTCTTCTCAACTATACCATGGCCAAGTCTTTTCACCAATGGAGAACAATTGTCTAATTCCCAGCGTGTTCTCCATTCCTCCAACAAGGTTTTGTATCCTTTAGTTGCATTTGAGTTGTTCCCTTCAACAACTTCAACCTCACCCTTTGGGAGAGACCTAATGTGCTCTCCACATCATCCTCTGTGAGCTCCATCTTTGCACTCTCCAACATTAGGGAACAACTAAAAACATCATAGTTTTCTACCAAATATGTATTTAGTGTATTGTCCATGCTGGACAATCTAAGCTCGAGTAATGATCCAAACCCAATCTCTTTAACCGCATTTTTTGTTCATCACTGAGATTTGCTACCATTTTGTTAAACTCCATTGGTGACATCCTAGTATTGAGCTGAATTTTCTTTGGAGCCTTTTCTTTCTTTACAGTCCTATTAGTGGCCTTTTCTTTATTTCCGTCTTCTTCATTACTTGTAGATCTTTTCTTTTTCCGGTAGGTTTTGGTAACCTCTTTTAATGATAAATCTACTTCTTGGCTAGACATAGTTGCTGCAAGTAAAATGTTAGTTAAGGGAATAAATCCAGCGATGCTCTATTCACTAAAAGTGTTCATAAAATCATGAATTAAAATAGTAATAGTGTACTCAGCCATTGATATTATGTTTAGTGAATATCAGATTTCTAGGTAGAGAGGGGGTGGGGTGTGCCGAATAAATCCAGTTATGCTCTACAAAGAAATAAGATATTCACTAAAAGAATAAACTCCATGCACTACAAAATGTACAAAATAAATCATGCATAAAAAGAGGGTACCCTGTGGATTAAAATAATGTACCTAATGAACAGATATAATGTACCTTAATAAAAAAAACACAACTTTCACTAAATTCTGATCTCATCTCTCCCTCTGTAATAAATCATAATGAATGGTTGTTGTGTTTATGTATGACAAATATGATGTTGTGGAAAGCTATGTATGACAAATATGATGCACCCCTAAGCATTACCATGACTATCCTTGAATTAGAACTATCCTTGAATTAGAACAGAACAATATGAAATTTTATTGTAATGAATATAGTGTCTACTTTAAACAATTGAAACCTGGAAAAGAAATCCTAAACAACTACTCGAAAATCAGTAAGAACCCTAGGCAATAAAAAACAACTACTCGAAACTCAATTTTAAAACCCTAGGTAGTTGCAAATGTACCTAATCAGTAGATGGAGATGGCGTCGGAAACGGTGTATAAGAAAGCTCTTGTGGCGTTGGTTTGTAGTAGAGCGGTGGAGGTGGCGTCGGAAATGGTGTGTCGAAGACGATGCACGAAGAAGATGGCGAAGAAGCTGTCGAAGACGATGTCGATTTTTTTTTTAAAAGATGATCTAACGGCGCCGTCTCTCCTTAAGTGTAGGGGTGTAAATGAGCCAAGCGGCTCGCGAGTCGCTCGTGAGCGGTTCGGTCAACGCTCGGCTCGAACTCGGTCAAAATCGAGCTCGGCTCGAGCTCGAGTAGCTCGTGGATTAAACGAGCACGAGCCGAGCTTAGGTATTGTAGGCTCGCGGCTCGACGAGCCGCTCGCGAGCCTTATAATATATTATATATTATATAATATATAATATATAATATAATATAATTATATTTAGTATATAAAAATAATAATTAGGGGAGGGAAATTAAAATACTTTAATAATTATGTATGGATAAAAATCATAAAATAAAGTAGTTTAAATTTTAAATCAAACCGATCAAATTCGAGATCAAAATTGAGCTCAAATTCGAGCCTAAACTCGAGCTCGAATTCGAGTCTGAACTCGAGCTCGAATTCAAGCTCGAGCTCGAACAATCGAGCTGTTCGAGCTCGAGCTCGAGCAGCTCAACAATTGCCGAGCTCGAGCTCGAGCATCAATTCACGAGCTCGAGCTCGAGCTCGAGCAGTGCTATCATTAACGAGCACGAGCATGAGCCTACCCAAGCTCGGGCTCGGCTCGACTCGTTTACACCTCTACTTAAGTGGAGAGACGGCGTCGTTTTGGACCATGGTCCAGCCAATAATTTGCCAATCTAACCGCCCCCCTTTTTAGGGGGAGCGGTTGGGGGGTTTGTTTCATATAAAAACCCCTCATCTTGTCTCTTTAGAACATCTACTTACTATCCTACACACTTTGTCTTATCGAATCTTTGTAATAGCCAATTTCTACGGCATTTAATATAATATACGGTCTCACGACCTTTTACGACATCGTTCTATATTATTTATTTATTATTCGTATTGCGTTTTCATCCGAATTTATTGATTCGAGTCCACCCCGGGTTAATTAAATCCATCATCTATTTTTAAATATGTTTTAAAGCGGTTGTGCCTAGTTATTTTGAAAACTAAACGAACAACTAGACAATGGGTATTATAAGCTTTATTAAAAAGTTTATTCTCTAAATAAATTATAAATAAAGCGTTTAAAAAAATTACCTGTTGGATGATTTTCCTAAGCCACATATCCTCACAGACAACACTAGAACCCAGAATGAGAAAGCCAAATTCGGAAGCAGGCGAATTAATGGTCCTCCCATCCGAATCCTCAAAAAGAGAATACAAATCAGCACAATCCATGGAAAATGTGAGGCGTTCTGGTGTTAGATCAAGCCCAACATCTCCAATTAACAATGCAGCGCTGAAACGAGTACTGGGAATACCTCTGCAAAGCATCAAACAGAAATTCCATCACAACTGTAGCATTTGGGGGTGTTAATCAAGTTGAATTGGAAACTGGACACTTCATTGGGAATGATAATCAACTAAACATACTATTCGTATATCCCAGATCTATTGTGCTTCTGCAACGATTAGTGAAAGATGTTACCTGAGCAACAATGGCGAAGCGTCGAAATTGAGCAAGTGGAGGCGGAAGGCGGAGGGCGGAGGCAAAGCAAGCTGCAGCCTGCACGCGGTGTGGCGGAGCAAGGCTTATCACAGTGAAGAGTGGGGCGGAGAACTGGAGCAGAAACCCTAAACTCTCTAAAATAATTGGGCTAAATGCGGTTTGACTTGTGGACAATGCTACACACACGCGTGTATATATATATATATATATATATATATATATATATATATATATATATATATATATATATATATATATATATGGTATTTCTCCTTTTATAATTTTTTAGTATAAAAACCTAAAAACAATATTATTTTTATAATTTTAATATTTTTATGTATTGATTTAAATATTCTTTTAATTTAGGTCGCGAACACAATTGTTGTATTATACTCCCTCCGTCCCATTTTCCATGTCTTACTTTCCTTTTTAGTTTGTCCCAAAATGTTGTCCTCTTTCCAAAATTGAACATCAATATCATTCTACTTTTCCAATTTACCCTTATGACTTTTGCTTTTATTTCCAAAAGTAAGAAAAGTGAAGGGCATAATTGGGAAATGACATAGCATTTACTTTAATTCCTTAAAAAGCGTGCAAAAAGCAAATGAGACAACCATTTCGGGACGGAGGGAGTAATAGAGAGTGAATCGCGTGAAGGCAAGTATTTCTACATCAATAACTAACGTTGTATATCTTGAAGTTTTCAATAATTTGTAATTTTGTAACACTTTGTTTTTAATAATAACATAAGTTGTATTTGAATATTTATTGTGTACCATTGACATTTTTATTTTTATTTATTCAATTCGCAATTTAAATTCAATTTTAAAATTTTTATTTTATGTTGTATAAAAATAATAAATTAAATATAAATTATTTTACACAATTCGACTATTTATTGTGTACCATTGACATTTTTATTTTTATTTATTCAATTCGCAATTTAAATTCAATTTTAATATTTTTATTTTATGTTGTATAAAAATAATAAATTAAATATAAATTATTTTACACAATTCGACATAAGTTTAAAACTTCTTATCCCGTGCATCACATGGGTAATAGTGTGTATATATATACTAGCCGGGCAAGTGTGTTGCGCGTAGTTCAACGTCCAATTTTAAAATTTTAATTTTACGATGATGTTAAAATAACACGACTGCAATTTTTTTGAGTACTATTGATAAAAAATAACTGTAATAATTAGCTATATTATTACAGTATATAGTATTTGATTTAAGTTTGTATTGTCAATTTCTTCACACACGTTCTCGTTAATAATATATTGATAGGATCATTGCACCACTAAAAAAGTAACATATATAACATTAGACATATCACGTCGGTGATAATAAAATTATCATTAAATAAATTTAGAGCTTAAAAAAATATTTTAACGTTGAATAAACTCTTTATAAAATATAAGAATTTTAAAACAGTCAATACGATGGGCATGACAATTTTTATTTTTATACAAATGTGTATATAAATTCATTTTTTTGAATGCTACTGACTCTATAACAATGTAGTATCTGTTCATTTAAAATGTTTTCTTTAATAGGAATCTTTTTATAGAATGTTAATTAGTTTAAAATTTCAAAGAAATATTTAATTAATATTTTGAGATTTTTAAAAGAGTAAAATAGTATTTGAAAAAAAAAAGTAAAATAGTAAATACTTAACACAATACTAGTTGTTTTGGAAAAAATAAAAATAAAAATTCCAAACTCGTATTTTAAAATTATCAATTGATTTCCCTTTCTAAACATCATTCATTAAGTTTAAACAAACTACAAAAGACTTCATTACAAACACTACTAGATAAATTTTAAAATTTATAATCTTTTTTAGATGAATAAACAAGTCAACATACATCTTTTAAACAAGCTAAACAACCATTATCTAACTCAACTATTTTTCTAAGACAAACAGTTTAAAAGAAAAGAATCCTAACTAAATCAACCCTGATGTATAATAGACATTACTCCATAGATTTATAATGGATACAGATGGGTTGACCACGAATAAAAAGTACATTTTAATATACTAAAAATATATTATTTGTGTACTGAAGATACATTATTTAAATACTGAAGATACATTATTTGAATATTGAAAGTACTAATAATGCACCTCTAGTATATTAAAAATGTACCTTTTATTCGTAGTCCGCAAAAATATTTGCCGTTGTAATGTCCTAGTTCCTGATATAACACTGCATCTGGGACTATAGGATACAAGCCAGTTTTCCAAGAACAATAATATTAGCCAATGATTCACTTATCTCTTGTTGTTCAACTTCATCATCATCCTAAACTTCACAAAATCTTACTCCATCCCTCCTCCATTTTCCTATTTATACAAAAAATCAGCATTATATTTGGAAGGCATCTTTATGTTATCCCTCCGCCTTAGATTATATTCATTGTTGGGGATCGCTTGAACAGGAGGTGCATCCCGCAATATACTATTAAACCTGCGCATCCTTTTAGCAGGGGTAGTAGATGGTATATTGTCCTCTCCAGCCAGAGTCTCACCCAAAGTTGCATTTGGGGTTGCCTGGCTATTGTCCTCATGACTTGAGGTGTACTCCAAACTTGTAACGAAGTTTGCTGTTGAAATTACAGTTAATGCAAAAATCAAAGCAATAATAATAATAAACCAATGAAAGAAAGTGGAAGAGAATAATAGAAATACCTGAAGAGTGAAGGAGTCTCATTCAAAGTTGCATTTGGGTCAACCTGGATATTGTCCTCACGACTCGGGGTCCCATCCAAAGCATCATTGAAGTTTTCTGTTGAAATTAAAGTTAATATAGAAATGAAAGCAATAAAAATAAAAATAATAATAATAAACCGATGAACGAAGGTGGAAGAAGAGAATAATAGAAATACCTGAATTAGTCGGAACTTGAGCAGACTCATCCACTACATTAGTGGAAGTTTCTACATTCCAGGTGCTAAAAGATGAAATATTGTCCCCCCTTTCTCCATGAGAAGAAGTTGCATCTTGATCTTCTGTTGAAATTAAAGTTAATACAGAAATCAAAACAAATGCATAAACAGTAAATAGATAAAAAAAAATGTAAAATATTCAACACAACTCACGCTTTAGAACACAAAGATCCCTCCGCTCCCATCCTCTATTACATCTCATCATAATTTGCACGCTTGTCTTTAGTTCTGTTAAACTTTGTGAAGTCTTTATATTTAGACCCCTTTTCCTTTAAGGAAATTTTAGCGTGCAATTGCGTGCAATGCCTTCACAATTCTCTGAAAGGCCGAAATGGAGATAACTGGGGCATATGGTAGGCACACTTCTGAAAGCACATAAGCACCGTCCTAGATAATGCAAAATCCATCTGCCTTTCATAGCCATCTGGTATAAAATTATAAAATTAGCATTTAGGCGCTTATAAGGCTGCCAACAAACCTACAATAAAGCCAACAATTACTAAGTCATACCTATTGTTTAATAAATTCATGAACAAAGAAACAAAATATAACATAAAACATTTTATCAATAAAAAGAAACTTACATCATTTGCTGTCAAATTTCTTAAAATATCTAGGTATCTTTCCGTCTTATTATATTATATATATGCCTAAATTTTCAACAATTTAATTATTATTCATACTAAATTGAGTATTAATTATTCATAAAAATATATATAATTGTAATAAATTAATAAATTAATTATAAATATATTCCGTAGCAAATTTTCTGGATTCATAGCACTAACACTTTTTAATCTGTAAATTTAAAGATTAAAAAGATTAACTTTTTATAACATCTTAAACCTACAATTTGCACTTCACTTTACTTCACAACCCCAATACATAACTACTCCACAGTCTATACAATACTTGTAAGCAAATAAAAACAATAATGCATAAGCAATCCTCACGTTTTAAACAAATAAAAGTTAAATCACCCATTTTTTAAACAAATAAAAGTTAAATCACCCATTTTTAAATATGTTTTAAAGCGATTGTGCCTAGTTATTTTGAAAACTAAACCAATGGGTTTTATAAGCTTTATTAAAATGTAAATAAAGCGTTTTAAAAAAAATAACTGTTGGATACTTTTCCTAAACCACATATCCCCATTAGAACTCAGAATGAGAAAGTCAAATTCTGAAGCAGCAGGCGAATTAATGGTCCTCCCATCCGAATCCACAAAAAGAGAATAGAAATCCATGGAAAATGTGTGGCGTTGTGGTGTTAGATCAAGCCCAACATCTCCAATTAACAAAGCAGCGCTGAAACGAGTACTAGGAATTGAATACCTCTGCAAGCATCAAACAGAAATTTAGCATTTGGGGAATTGGAAACTGGACACTTCATTGGGGATTGATAACCAACTAAACATACTATTCGTATATTAGAGATGTATTGTGTTTCTGCAACGATTACCTGAGCAGCAATGGCGAAGCGTCACAGTGAAGAGTGGGGCGGAGCACTGGAGCAGAAACCCTAAACTCTAAAATAATTGGGCTACATGCATACTTGGGGACAATCAATATAAAAATCATTTTCAATTTCCCGCCGAAGGAAAGAATATTCTAGAAAGGAATCTATTTATTTACAAGTTTTATATCTCCAAAGAAAAATTAATGAGTTATTTTCAACTTTCGAAGAGTCTTTTCAGTTTTCAAGGTATGGTTTAATTGTTAAAAATATTAATATTATTAATATTATTTGTTTACCTTTTTTCATTAAATTGAATAGATATAGATAGTAATATATATAGCCGCATTTGGGTCTTCAAATTTTGCAGAGTGTATGAATGAAGGGTGCGGTCGCCGAACTCACTGCAGCGAGCGCGAGAAGAACGACGATGCGGAGAGAAAGAAAACAGAGACGAGTCGCGGAGAGAAAGGAGAGAAAGAAAACAGAGACGAGCTGATATTAGACCTGCAATTTGTGTATACGGGTTCGTTAACGGGTCGACATTATAATAACACGAACACGATAAGACTAAACACGAACACGACAAGATAAGGTTAACGAGTTCAAATTTGTAACACGTACACGAACACGATTTGTTAACGGGTTAAACAGGTTGACACGATAGATACGTTTTGTTAATAGGTTTCGGGTCGTGTCGACACGAAACACATTTAAACCCACTAAACCTATTAATATATTAAAAAAAATTAAATTTTAAAGTTAAGTTATATATAAAAGAAATAAAACCTACAATTCAATCCATCAAACAAACTAAAAAAATATTCAATTTATAACTTTTATAAAAGGGAAAATGGCACTTTTTCCCCATGTGTTATATACTTATAGCACTTTTTCCCCCTATATTATTTAAGTGGCAATTTTCCCCCCTGATATATTAAATGGACATATTTACCCTTAAAATAAATATTTCCTTTATTTTACTTCTCCAACAAATTATAACCACAATTTGAAAAAATAAAATACATTAATTGTTGAATTTAGAATACTTTAAAAATAAAAAAAAAATAAAAAATTTAAAATAATGTTTGAACCAACAGTTCAAATTGGATCCGAAATTGTGAAACAACGATTCAAAATAAAAACCAAATCGCGATTATATATACTTATATGTGAGAGTCAATATAAATGCGAAAAAAACATACACTATTTGCAAATATTATAATTCTAATTTTAAGCTATTGCTAGTAGTTGTTCCGATTTGAACCTCTGGTTCACGGTTCAGAATCTATTTTTTTCCACTTCACAATTTTAATAAACGGAAACCCAAATATTGGGTTATGTTATGAATCATAACCGAATTTTTTTTTATTTGATTGCTATAGTGTTCGGTTCAGTTCGAACCGAACCGTGGCCATCCCTACGTATAAACAATAATTTGTTGAACAAGAGAAATAAATAAAATATGTATTTAAGGGTAACAATGTCTATTTAATATTATCAGGGGGAAAAACCGCCACTTTTATAATAATTGAGGGGGCAAATGTGGATGCATGAATAACTCAGGGGGAAAAAGTGCTATAAGCATATAACATAGGGGGAAAAAGTGTCATTTTCCCTTTATAAAATGATAAAATAACATCCAAAAATCATAATTAAAGAAGTCCATGCTAGTTTTAAAATAAAATTGAACACAATAAAAATTCAAACTTCATATTGTTGAACATCAATAATTGGTGTAGGATTATTTTAGCCTATGTAGTAAATTCATCCTTAGTCATGTACTCATGTTCATGATATCTTTTGTAATCTCATTCATAACAATGGTTCTTAGCGGGTTCTAAACAGGTTTGTGTAACCGGGTTCGTGCAAACGGGTCAACCCGTTAATGACCCGGGACATGTTAAGGCTAAACACTAACTCGTTATTTTCGTGTCCGATTTCGTATCGTGTTAACAAGTCCTGTCCATAATTGCCAGGTCTAGCTGATATGCTAGAACTAGGGAACAAAGACGAGCTGATATTCCCCTTCTCAGTTTTCAAGGTCTTTTAATATCCTTTCACCTTTAGGTTACTGCACAGCACAAATTTCACATTTCAGTTTTGAAGCCCTAATGTGGTATGTTTCACATTTCAGTTTTGCATATTCACATTTCAGTTTTGCACAGCAAAAATGTGGTATGTACCAATCTTTAGTATTGCATTTTCTGACTCTTTTATGTTATCTATTTATGGGTTTTTTGAGGCCACGAGGCAGAGAGCCCCATTGTGAATGCTAGCCAAGAAAGGACTACCACAAGAACTCAAAGCGATGTAGTTCAGAGATGCTTACGGGATAATTTTCCAGTACACAGTCCAAAAAAGAAGAAACAAGCTACTGTCAAGGTTAAAAAGATTATTTATGAAGATGAAGTTCCTGAGGATGAATGAACAATTTGAAAGAAACATTTTTTTAACTGTTTTGTTTTGGAGGGAAGTCCTTATACATTGGACTAATTGCTTAATTTCTACATATTTTGGACTCTTTTGATATTTTTTTAACTGATTAATTTGATGCTTGAATTGCTTAATATATTATCTTTTCTATTTTGCTTGGTTAGACATCATTGATAATATATTATCTTTTCTGTTTTGTTTGGTTAGACATCATTGACAAGTAGAAGTCAAACATAGAGTTTTCATTTTTTTTTTCAAATAATGATGTATATCATCCCGTTTAATTAAGTTATATTTAGGAATAGATTTGATTGATATAATTAGCATGTTGTAATTTTTTTATTTTAAAACAATAAAGAGAATTATTTTCATTACAAAAACTCAGTCTATTTTAAGCCTATTACAAGAGATAGTGGGGTAGAACCAATCATGCATAACAATTACCAGTTACATACTGTCCTAGGTCTTTAACTGAGCATTGCATAAACTTAACTCTATGCAGCATAACATGTAAATATAATTATGATCTCATATAACACAATTTCTTATTACTCTAAATTCAAAGTAGCACCTTTAATCTAATAAAAACAATAGAGCTTAATATAAGTCCAAGGACGATCAAAAGCATAATGTAATTTAGTCTTTCTTTCAATAATTTAATATGTAATTTAATCTTTTTTTTTTTTGTACACAACGCTTTATTTTTATTAAAATTGTATTTTTCCCCGTGCATCGCACGGGACAATATCTAGTTTTATATATGTGTGTGTGTGTGTGTGTGTGTTATTTCTCCTTTTATATATTTTTAGTATAAAAACCTAAAAATAATATTATTTTTATAATTTTAATATTTATGTATTGATTTAAAATATTCTTTTAATTTAGGTCGCGAACACAATTGTTGTATTACAATAGAGAGTGAACTGCGTGAAGGCAAGTATTTCTACATCAACAACTAACGTTGTATATTTTGAAGTTTTCAACAATTTGTAATTTTGAAACACTTTGTTTTTAATAATAACATAAGTTGTATTTGAGTATATTGTGTACCATTGACATTTTCATTTTTATTTCAATTCGCAATTTAAATTCAATTTCAAAATTTTTATTTTATGTTGTATAAAAAATAATAAATTAAATATAAATTATTTTACACAATCCGACATAAGTTTAAAAATTATCATCTCATGCATCGCACGAGTACTATACTAGTGTGTATATATATACTAGCCGGGCAAGTGCATTGCGCGTAGTTCAAGGCCCGTGCTAAAATTTTAATTTTACGTTGATGTTAAAATAACAGGACTGGAATTTTATTGGAAAAAAAAAATAGTAAATATTTAACACAATACTAGTTTTTTGGGAAAAAAAATAATAATTCCCAACTCGTATTTTAAAATTATCAATTGATTTCCCTTTCTATCATATAGCTGTATAAAACATCATTCATCAAGTTTAAAAAGACTTCATTACATACACTACTCAATAAATTTTTAAATTTTTAATCTTTTTGAGATGAATAAACAAGTCATCACACATCTTTTAAACGAGCTAAACAACCATTATCTAACTCAACTCTTTTTCTAAGACAAAAAGTTTAGATGAAAAAAAACTAAGTTGTAAGAGCATTAATAGTAGAAATATAACTCAAACAGTTTTAAAAAGTAAAGAATCCAAACTAACTCAACCCTGTTGTATTACAAACGTTACTTCATAGACTATAATCGACATAGCTGTGTGGACCATGAATAAAAAGAACATTTTTAATATACTAAAAATACATTATTTGTATACTGAAGATACATTATTTGAATATTGAAAGTACTAATAATGCACCTCTAGTATATTAAAAATGTACCTTTTATTCATAGTCCACAGAAATATTTGCCGTTGTAATGTCCTAGTTCCTGATATAACACTGCATCTGGGACTATAGGATACAAGTCTGTTTTCCAAGAACAATAATATTAGCAACTTTTCACTCTTTTTTTTTTTTTGCAAGAGTGATATTAAAACACAACAATATGATTATATGAACATACCTTATACACAATGAGTATATTTACAAACTCTACACCCAACATCATCTTTTCTTCTTATCTTCTTTGTGTCTTTCAATAATCACCGGGGCAGCCGGTATGCTAAACCACCACTCCCTCAACCTCCGAGTACATCTTTCTGTGTTCGTTTTCCTAAGAGGAGAGTATTTAGTGAAGAGCTCCAAGAAAACCAGCATGGCTATATATCGGGATGGCAAGAATGCCAATAGTAATGCCATGACTAGAAGGGCACCCGCAAGCTTCTCAGTTGCCTGATTATATGAAACACTGGTCAGGTTCAACAAATAAGATCTTAAAATCTGTTAATTACTTGAAACAACGGTTTAACCAAGTTCAATAGGATCAAAACCATCACATACGTTTAGGTACTTGGGGGGAAGTGGTTTTAAGTTTTGAGCCATAAAGTTTCAACTATCTAGCAAAGATTGAAAGGTGGATCCAAAATTATAAAGGGCATATCACTTTTCGAAGCAACTTCAATGGCACAAACTATGACAAAAATGGAAAGATAATAACACGTGTTAAGAGTCCCACATTGAAAAAATAAGATAAAATATATGGGTTTATAAGGCCATGGATTAGACTAGCTAATTGATTAGATTCAATCTTTTAGTCTGGTTTAGCCCATGTGCATTATAGCCTAGCTTGTCCAGAGCTAACACTTAGAATAGAGATAATTATCAAGGAAATGCAACACACCTGAGGGAAAATGGATAACAATATGGCACGACACTTGAGAAGAACAATGTTTCCGTCTTGGATCAGCTCTTCAGCTTGAGAAACTGCACTTTGAACAGCAAAAAGTTGCTCCATAGTCTTCATTGATGGGGGAACTATTACTTTGAGGGTTTTAGATGCCCTGTTTTGGCTAAAGAAGCAGGTGAGCCCCAAATAAAGTGCACAAAAAGCGAGCAATAGTGCACAAGCATAGCCCAGCCATCCCCTGCAAGAAAACTACACTGTAAATATTTCCAGAAATTTTAAATTATCAATAAGTGATGTTAGCAGGTGATTATACAAGAAAAGAATGTATTACTTGTCCTGTCAGTTTACTATTTCAAAACAAAAATGAAAAAATGAATATATATATATATATATATATATATATATATGGAAGGGTTCAGGTGCGGGTATAGCTTCCCGTGGGGTTGTGCGGTTATCTCAAAAAGACGCACCTTAAGTACACAAACCACGCACAAGCACACAAACAAAGCACCTTAAGAACACAAACCACGCACCTAAAGTTTTAGGCCCACTCACCTTAAGTACACAAACCACAAGTCTAATCTAAACCCAATGATCAATATGAAGGGAATGTTGGACAAAATCCAGAAAATTGGCCTAGAGATGCTACCTGATTATAACACATGTGAAGACTAAGCAGAAAACCATGGACTTTAAAGAATCCTCCCAATATGCTAGAGAAAGAAGACATTTCCAAAGTTGGTGTATGGGAGACATCAATTCCTGCAATAGATCCATCAATCTTAGATATTTAGAAGACAAGTCTTCGCAGGCGTTTCCAGTCAAGCCTTTGAGAAAGAAGAGAAGATGGAAAGATTGTCTTCAAGGGTTGCTGATTATACACTAGAATTATTTTCACTTGGCAACACAAAAGATATATAGAAGAAGAGTTTGATCATTTCCAATTCTAAAACAAAGCAGTTATAGTTCAGGTGAACTAAGCTACTTCCAAATTTCCAATACTTTCAAAATTTAGAGCATGCATGTAACTATGTAAGTATCAGAAAGAACTAAGTCAAATCAATTACTGTCTTTGCACTTTAAGCAACAATAATAGTAATACCTTCATCACTGCCAAGTTTTTATCAAGACCATCAACTTTAACACCATCAACTGTAGCTTGTGCTGACACTACCTTTTTGTAGTTGCTTCTGGATTCCCGAACTACTTTTTCCAAGGAAGTCATCTCACCAACAGCAATCTCGCTAACAACAATTCCCATCTCATTAGGAACCTTAGGACTGGTGCCAAGCACAAAGCCTAAGTTGGATGCTATGGTCAGAGCTGAAATTGAGTGCATTCCAGTGCTGGCTTTAAGAGAGTTAGTCGACTCCAATTCCCTCATGACTGACTTAGTTGCAAGTGTTTCCAGTATCAGATCTCCACCCGGAAGCTTATCACACACATTAAACATCAAAAGATTATCATAACAAAGAGAATTTGTAGAACTTATATCTTTTAGTGCTTGTACTTGCAGAATCCCAAAAATAGCTTTCATAAGTGCTTCTTCTCGATTAATCCCAGTAATGTGGAACTTGTGCATAAATCTTTGAGCGTATAAAATTTCACGAATTATGGTTAACCAATAATCTCTACGGGCATGTCCTTTAAGTTCTGGAAAATCCATAATAGTAGACCTACATTTTAAGAATTACAAAATTTTTAGTATACTTTCAAGAAACATGGACAGTCTGAAAAATCATGGAGCCTACAGGCTCTAATAGGTGATTCAAAAAATTTAAAAAGCATTATAAATACTGGGAAAATGTATGCATCATGCCTTACAAGGAATCTGATTTATATAGAACTGCCTTGTCAAAAAGTCGTGTACCCCATGGTCCCGTTAGCTCAGGTTTGACAACCTGATTCAGATCTTCAGAGAGTTCATATTTTTGGGGTTTGTCATAGGACACAACACGAAGGGGTTCAAAATAAAGAGCATGGTCAGTCAGGGTTAGCCTACCTGCAACCACAATATATACCCAAGGAATGACATGTTCTATGTTATTCTCACATTAATATAATACTGTTCACAGAAATAGCAATTTAAAACCCAAAACCATACCAGGCCATGTGGAGATCCCCACATGTTGAAGAACTGGCTGGGTTGTGACTGTCCCTTCAAGTTCCAGGATCTTCTCCCCTCTTGCTGAGCGTAAGGAGGAAAGGTGAGATGACTCAGAATTGCCCTTCAACTTTTTAACTCCTCTGCAAACAAATCCAAGATTTAAAATTCTTAAAATAAAAATATATAGGTTAAACATCAGTTAATACTGTAATAGTAAGCAGGACAGATCATTTAATTTAACGAAAGGAGTGAAATTGGAATCAAACTAATCCAGAGCTACCAAAAGAGACCAAAAACGAACAACTAAAATTAGAAAAAGAATTATCTCACAATTACTCAAAAATAGGTACAAATAGAAAATTTTATTATATAGCATTAAAATAAAGTGCATAGTGCAGTTTGTACTCCTTCATTGCTCATCCCACGTTTAGAATATGAAGATCACTGCATGACTTGCCAAACAGCACTATCATTAAGCAAAGAAACAGAGATGAATTAATAGATCAAAACTATTCCTTGCTGCAAGTGTTTAACACCTTTTCCTAGGTATATCTGAGCAATACATGTTATGAAAATGAGAAAATAATCAATTGAAAGAAAGGGGTCTTAGTGTTGTACTTCATTGTTTTCAACATCGATGTACTTCTATTTTCCTTAAAATGCATATTTGATGAATCTAAACTGTTTCCTTGTTGATCTCAATATAATAAGACAATCTGTCCTATTCCTAGTAGGATTGTGCTTGGTTCCTAATCTTAGTAGGAGTGGACTTGGTAAATGTTCTTATAATATAAATTTAGAATCTCTATATAGTTCAATAAACATTACATAGAAAAACAGAAACACAGAAACAACCAAATCTATTACGGAGTACTATTAATACAATCATCTATTCTCTCTTTCTTTGCTTTCTCAATATTTTACTTTTGCTTAATTGGTGGGTGGTGGCTATTTGGCACTCGCCACTCCGCCAGGTCTTTCAATCCCTCAAGTTCAAAATGGTATCAGAGCTTACATGTCCTAGGCCATTTTTCTAATTTTGTGAGCAGAAACCATGTTTTTCGGGGAGGTGAACAGTGCTTATCATGACTGACTTCTCAATTCAGACCTTTTTGGTTGCTACCTTTGCAAATTATTGCCACCACATTGTTCGGGACCTTGTTGTGACTTACCGCGGGAAAGGCCTAGAGTACTATTCCTAGTAAGAGTGGGCTTGGTTTCTTAATCCTAGTAAAAGTGGACTTAGCCAATGTTCCTACAAAACACAGAAACAGCTAAATCTATTACTATTTTAATACAATAACCTATTCTCTCTTTCTTTGGTTTCTTACATATTTTGCTTCCACCTAACTGGCATATGGTGGCTATTCATCGGTCATCACCCATCAAGTCTTTCAATCCCTTAATTTCAACACAATCAAGCTGGAAGTAGAAGAGCAGTTTCACTCCATATAGAGAGCAGGGAGAAAAAGATGAATTTATTATATTACCTTTCTAAACCACTGAGATATTTGTCATAGATTGCAAACTGAAGTCGACCACCAGTTGATGATGAAAGCACACTGAAAATGTTATCACTAACAATCACATTGGCAATGATGGGAACTGCTACAACAATTCTTGAAAAAGCCTCAACACCAACAGTGACATCTTCATCCATCTGCAACACAAAGAAATGCGAAATTCAAACCAATCCCCATGGGGATAAAGTTTATTAAAAGAAGAGGTATATTCTAAATAGATATTTATAGGGCCAACTTTGAAGAATTATAATGGAATCCCCATGAGGGCAAAACCAATTGTCATTGCTTAGTGCTTACATAATACAAAGGCATGTTTCCTTGAGTTATACTAAAACAAGAATACTTCACTTGATAGATTTCATTAAATGACAAAATAAGATAACAGAATTGTCATCAAAGACAGACAAGATTCAGAGATTATAAATATTTGTACATACACTGGCAAATGGTTTACTGGCAGCTGCTGGAAACTCCCAAGCAGCCATCATATCAAATGTGAGACGTCGAAAACTTCTGTCTCCTAGATAACCAGATACTTGCACAACCAATGCAAGAGCCCTGAAGCTGCAATATTCCAAAAAATTGCGTGCATATTGAGAAGGATGCTTTAAAGTATCAGAAGCTTCTCCATCAAAGATTTCATGAAGTTGCTTCATAGGAGTATCAAGGATCCTGCATCATACATATTTTCTCTCAATATACAAACTGATAGGAGGACTTGCAAAAAGTCTAAGAGAATAAATTTATGAGAACAATAAATCAGGTGTATCAAATACTGCGAAGAACAAGAAAATGACAAAAGAAACCATAAAAAAGTTTGTCGGATCAAGCATACCTTGAGCATCGACGTACAACTACATTTGCCAAAGGAGAAAGCTCAGGCAACCAGTTCTTTCCACTAGATGAAGAATCTTTCTCCATCTCCTCAGCATCTTCATCTAATAAACTCAAGGTTTTATTCAACCATTTGAATGATCCATCTTTAAGCAGACCATTGAACAAATTCCTGGTTTTGTTGTCTTTAGCCATGCAGCAACAGCACCCTTTAGGCCACCAAATTGATCAAAGATACCTAGCCAGCAGTGTTTCAAAACATTGTAAGAAGACAAAAATACCTTCAAATTTACAAACTATCAGATAAAGATCATCACAAGAAAGAAGATTCAGATTATATTTTCCTTTTCCTTCATGCTCTTTCATTCAATACCTAACTAAACAATTGGGTCAGCATTAAACCCACACAAAACATTGCTAGACACTCGAATAACTAGAAAACGAAATTTGAATCACCATTGCTCTGAAAAGGAACTAGTATCCCCCAGTTACAACTTACAACCATTCCTGAAAACCCAAGCTGGATAATTTACCAAAACATGAAACTTCAAGGTTTTATAGAATCAACTATGTAATGTGATGCTGCTATCATTCTAAATGAATGGTCGCATGATTGAACTCTGGTGGTGGGGCATTGATTCTTTGGACCAAAAAATGATTGAAAAAGTATAAAACAGATACTATCTTATAACAAATCATGATTCATGAGTAATTAAAAAAAAAAAAAATCAATCAAGCAGCACTAAACCAAATTCAATTTTCTAAACCTTCTCAAAAACACCCACAAAAAGAAGTTACTTCCAAATAGCCAAATCTGGAAGCTCCTATGGAATAAGCTGAACATGATAGGGGAGGAGGTTACCTGAAAAACCCTTTCAGCAATAGAAACTTTGGAGAAGCTTCAAATTGAAGGAAAGGAAACGCCCATTTCCCAATAAAGGCAGAGCCGCACGAAAAGCATTTGAATTTGGAATGCGATATGATCTTCCTGCTTCTCCCTCTGCTCTGCTCTGCTCTGCTCAGTTAACAACAATTACTAGAAACTGACAGTGTTCTTTCTTTGTTTTTTGAAAATCTGAAGGTGACAATCAGATTGATCAGAGAAGAATTTCGAAATTACGAGATTAGTTATTCTAGAGTTCTAGACTTCTAGTACTTGTCAACTTTCAAGTGTTTAATATTATTATTATTATTTTTTTTTTTTTGAGGATTTCAAGTGTTTAATATAATTTAAAAATTTCGAAACATACGCAAAGGAGGATTAGATACGCGACTCAGACTTTACCGGGGTCGCACTCAAAGTCTCCGAGAGGATAGATTTTTTCACCTTAGGATAAAAATTATTGGGGTGATAGTATTCGAAATAATTATTTAATTATGTCATAATTCTCACATTAGTTATTGATTATCAATTCATTTAACATGATCAATTAATTATACAAAAATTCATTTAACTTAGTCCTAATAGAAAATAGTACTGGATTAAAATAAGTAAAATTTTGTATAATTGGACAATTATTTGAAATAAATTGTTAGTTAATTATTAAAATGAGAATTATGAAATAATTAAGAGACTATTTTGAGTATAAATTTAAAATTATTTCTCAAATATCTTGTCGGTGTAAAGATTAAGGCTACTAGTAGACTCTTCTAGTAGCAAAACTTCTAGCATCCTTATCCAACAACGTCTTGATTTCTTCTGACGGACATTCCAAAATCGTCGTACCTCAGTATGAAGATTGGCCAAAGTTAATCAGATAATCAGCGCATTGATTTTCCTGGCGAATAGTATTAATTCTTATTCTTATTTTTTGTCAAAAGATGTTGTATATACTGATTAAAATATTATTACTGGAACCTAGAAATAAGGTATAAGGAATTCAAAAAAAATATTTAGTGGGTTAAGCAACAGTAGGCGTTTTCAATGTTAGTGAAATTGTCTTTTTCGGTGGCGGGACACCTTCTCTCGTGCCCCCTCAGCTGGTTTCGTTAGTCCTGGACGCATTGAATTCAAAATTCGGTTTTCCGGCATGGAAGAGAAGAAACAAAGAAGAAGAAAAGAGGAGAATCAAATGTCTATATTGTCCTCAAGATTTTATCTATTAAAATTTTTTGACTACTTTCCACCGGCAATTTGGCCGGATGGATTAAAATTGAGAAAAATTAAATAGTTATGATGCTAAATTGACAATTTTGAAACTTGTGGATTGAAATTAACAACACCTCAATAATTATAGGACCAAAAGTGAAATTAACTCTAAATTATAATTTGGTGAGAAAAGAATAATGTGGAAATAAAATAGGAATTCAAATTACATTATTGTTTGGTATCGAAAAATAGAATTATTTGAAAATGGAAATGGAAGAAGTAATATAATGAATAAAATATCCTTGTCTAATAATAATAATACTGCGCAGCAACAACAACAACAACAACAACCAGTTGCAAAAATCGCTTGCCCACCTAGACAGTCCCCACGCCGAGACCTAGGCAGTCCCCACGCCTAGTGATTTTTCAACTAGTGATTTTTCAACGTTGAGAAGAAGAAGAAGAAGAAGAAGAAGAAGAAGAAGAAGAAGAAGAAGTATCAATTTTGGTCATATGACTATAGGGGTCTTGTTAATTTCAGCCCCTGACTTTTAAAAGTGTCAATTTAGTACCTTAACTATGCAAATTTTGTCAATTTTGGTCACTCCGGCTAAATTGCCGGCCAAATTTCGCTGAAAAATTTTAATACTTAAAATAATGAGGGTATTTTGGTCATTTCAAGCCTCTTTTCTTCTTCTTCGGCGAGTCCATCCATTTCTCTCCCGTTTCCGGCATTCTTTCTCCCTGTAAACCCTATCTTTAATATCATCAAGCCTCCTTTCCGCATCAACTTAGTTCATTGCATTCGCTAGAAACGGGAGAAGAAGGGATGGACTCGCCTGAAAAGAAGAAAAGAGACGTGAAATGACCAGAATACCCTCATTATTTTAACAAGTAAAATTTTCTAGCGAAATTTGGTCGGCAATTTGACCGGAGTGACCAAAATTAACAAAAATTGCATAGTTAAAGTACTAAATTGACACTTTTAAAAGTCAGAGACTGAAAATTAACAAGACCCCTATAGTCGTATGACCAAAATTGAAATTTCCTCTAATAATAATAATCAATGGTAAATATGTCACTTTCTTCCTTTTTCCTTTCTTTTGTGGAAATTACAATTCCCTCCAATCAAATTATGTAGTTTTTTTTCTTCATGGAATTACATTGATATTGAATTTCAATTCATACCAACCAAACATCACATTAGCGCTCTCACAACAGCCCCTAGCAACACTTGGCAGCTCATATTGACTTGTAATAGCCCTTTTGGGCATGTGTTTTAACTTCTAACACAATTGTTTGATGTTATATTCTTCCAAAAGGCTGAACCCCAACCCTTTGTTTGATGTTATATTATTAGGCTAAAAGGATGATCCAACGTCATTTTTTTTTCCTTAAAAAATCAACAAAACATTTGATTAATTAAAGAATGAGATGGAAATACAATCGGGCAATCGTTATGCCTTGGACCCGTGTCCAGCATGCTTGCTGGACACGGGTAACAGTGCCGTTAGGCACTGTTATCTTTTTTTTTTTTTTTTTAATTTCAGACCACTTTGTTATAGAAGTATATGTTCATAATTTTATTACTATATGTTAATAACTATACATTCATAACTCCATAACTGTACGTTCATAACTCTATAACTGTACATTCATAACTCTATAACTGTACATTCATAACGTCATAACTGTACATTCATAACTCCATAATTGTACATTCATAATTTTCGAAGCTCTATGTTCACAATTTTAGAGCTCTATGTTCATAATTTTATCACTATATGTTCATAATTGTAAGTTCATAATGTTAGAGCTCTTTGTTCATAATTCGATCAATAACTGTACATTCATAATTCCATAACTGTAGATTCATAATCTCATAACTGTAGATTCATAACTCCATAACTGTAGATTCATAACTCTATAACTGTACATTCATAATCTTCGAAGCTCTATATTCACAATTTTAAAGCTCCATGGTCATAATTCTATCACTATATATGTTCATAATTGTAAGTCCATAATGTTAGAGCTCTGTGTTCATAATTTCATAATTGCATAACTGTACATTCATAACGGCATAACTGTACATTCATAATCCAAAAAAAAAAAAACGCCGTTAACGGCAAAACGCGCGCGAATTTTTTTTTTTTTTTAACCAAATGACGCGTTTTTTTTTAAAAACGATGTCGTTTTGGGCCCGTGTCCACAATAATTGTGGACACGGGTCCAGGGCATAATTTGCCACAATCGGGGGAGTAGCTTCCCAAAAACTAGGACCTAACTGACTACAAACTAGCTTTTGTAAGAATGTGTGCAGCTGCGACGTCAAAAACTCCCCTTCCTCATTAATAACGTACAACCCAAACGCTACACACATATACATGTACTGCATCGTTACATATATAATGAATCATATTGCAAATTAGATTACGGAAAACTTTAACGTACCCGAATGTAATTTTTTTTTTTATAAACAATATGTATTGTGAAAGAGACAAATTTCTTATATTTATAAAAGACGTTTAACCTGACTTAAAAAATGATAAATATATAATTGAATAAATTTGGTAAATTCTCAATTCTTTTAGAAAAATAATCCACCTCCCCTATGTGCAATTTACTTTTCTTTATGTGAGATTTTCTTTTCTTGATATCATGGAATGTCATTACATGGATCCGAACTTTCCTAAGTCAAAAGCTAAGATTGCACCAAACATAGGAATAATTTTCCACTTTTTAAATTCTCAGAAAAGTTCAAACTTTCTTAGCTACAAACGCTCTCTAATAGTTGGTAAAAGACCACAATGAGATAAACCAGCCTAGGTTGTCTATGGTTAACCAGCTCAAACCAAGAAGATCAATAAACTGTTTTTGTTGGGAATTAAATTTGTGACTTTATATTTTCTAAGTCAATAATTTAACTAACTTGGTTAGCTGGTTAGGGTTATTTTTTTAACATCATATCGTTTATAAGATCGATGGTCAAACAAGTTGATGTGGTCTGAATGCAATGAAAATCCATAGAGCATCCACCTCACTTAAGCATGCATTTTAATCATTTAATTTGTCCACTAGCTTGCCAATAGTTATGATGTGCAACCGTGTGCACTACGGTTACAGAACGACATCGTTTTAACTAAAAATGTGTGTCCCATTAAAAAAAAAAAATCAGTTTCGATTCCCCTCAACAACATTATGTTGTTCATTCATTCTAGATTTTTAGTTCATTCATTATGCATATTTAGTTCATTCATTGTGGATATTTAGTTCATTCATTCTGGATTTTTAGTTATTCATTAACTGTGGATATTTAGTTCATTCATTGTGGATATATAAATTCAAATTATGCACAAAAAAATGCTATTGCCCGGAATCGTCCCTGGATTTTTTCTTTTTTAAGTGGGACGCGCGTTTTTAGTCAAAACGACGTTGTTTTTGCAACCGTGTGCAGTTGCACAGCATAATTTGCGCTAGCTTGCCAATTTTTACAAGTTTTTATCATTAATTTTGTTTTATTTTGACTCGCCGTTAACGGCGTTATTCGTTTGTGTCATTATGAATGTACAGTTATGAGATTATGAATGTACAATTATGAAATTATGAATGTACAGTTATGGAATTATGAATGTAAGTTATAAAATTATGAAAACAGAGCTCTGACATTATGAACTTACAATTATGAACATAGAGCTCTAAAATTGTGAACATGGAGCTTCGAAAATTATGATTTTACAGTTATTGAATTATGAATGCACAGTTACGGAATTACGAATGTACAGTTATGCAATTATGATTGTACAGTTATGGAATTATGAACATAGAGCTCTGACATTATGAACTTACAATATGAACATATAGTAACAAAATTATGAACATAGAGCTCTAAAATTGTGAACATGGAACTTCGAAAATTATGAAGTTTACAGTTAATATATATATATATATATATATATATATATATATATATATATATATATATATATATATATATATATATATATATATATATATAGAGAGAGAGAGAGAGAGAGAGAGAGAGAGAGAGAGATAAAGAAGAGATAGAGGTATAATATATACAATATTTTATAAATTAATGATATAGACATGTTATGTTGACTAATTTAATAATTATGTCGATGTTGATTTGATTTGTAATTAAAATTACATGAATTTATAAATTAATTTGAATACAATAAATGCTTTCACACTTTGAAAGAAAAAAAATTCCTCTAATCATTTTGCTTTAATATATATATATATATATATATATATATATATATATATATATATATATATATATATAGAGAGAGAGAGAGAGAGACACTGCTGGAAATTATCATTTTTCTGACCACTTTTCCGACCACTCATAAAAAGGGTCGAAAAAAGTGAATTTTTTTCAATTTTCCGTCAAAGTATTGGACTGGACAGAAAAATGTCGGATTTTCCGACCATCTTCTACTTGGTGGTCGGAATTTATGATAACAAAGAAGATGTCGAATTTTTTTTTTTTTTTTCAGTTATTCAATGCTTTTTTTTTTCTTTTAAGAAATTATTTATTGTACATATTACTAAAATTAGAGTTCGAGACTTAACACTCACTTCTCTCGCACAGTCGCCCGATTCATTTGCCCTAAGGTTCTCACGACGTCCTCTCTCTCTGCAATCATCTCGACACACTCTCTCTATCTCTCGCTTTTAATCCCCTCTTTTACAGACTTTAGTTACCCTCATCCTCTAGCAGAAATCGACATTACCGTCTCTAGATATCTCTCTCTATTACAGTCTGTTCGAATCTTACTTACAACTGTCAAAACCTCAATCATCTGGAAGATCCACTCAACAGAAGCTGATTTTAAGTTCATAGGAAGGAAGGTATGTATTTTATATCTTGAATTTCAGTATTTTTCATCATATTTATGTGTAATCCCAGTGTTCTTGTTTCTGAAAACCTAATAGAAATTTTAGATCGTTTTAATTGAAGTTCAATTACTTTTTTTTTTTTTTAGTATTTTAAGTTTGATTAATAGTGCATGCAATTAATTCTTTGTCTGGCGCTTTTCTTCTCGTAGATCAGACCTAATCCCTAAATCATTTTTTTGAGAGTGTTTTCATTCTTATATCTAGCATGATATATTAACCTGTTGATTGAATTTCTGTGTTCTGGTAAACAAAATAGCCTAAATAGATAAGTTTTTTTGAGCTTTATTCTCCTATTCCTCTATTATCGCTACAATTCCTACTATAGCTGTTTTATAGTGTGTTTATATTTGTTTGAGCATAATAGAATGTATTTAAATAGGGTTGTAGTTGGCATTTGAATTTTAATGGCACAATATGTGTGTGCTTTATGAGTGTGTCAGTGGAACTGAAGAGTTCTTTCCTAAGTAATGATAGCTTGTGTCATTAAACATTGCATCAGAGTCTGCTGCAAATGTATGTTCTATTAGTTTTAAGTTTTACAGACATTATTGAGTTATATCTGCTAACATACTCCTTTTCATTAAAATTGTTCAAGTTTATGTTGATAACAGTTTGCTATTTAACAGCCTACCAAGTTTTGTAATTATTTCTTATCATATGTTAGAGTTGAATGTGTTAGTACATAACTTGATCCAATCCATTACTTATTAATTATTGACATATGCTTTAGTTGAATGCCTGATGTAACTTATTTATTTTAAAAGTTTTTCCAATAATGATAGATTTTCCTTGTCAAGGAAGAGGTTAATTGAATCTCATAATTTACAGCAAGTTTAGATTCTCAAATCCAAAGTCTTGGTACAGTTTGTGATTTCAAATCTTCTATTTAAAAAAAAAAAATACATGATAGTAGCATCATTTTTGCTTTATAATTTGTCTGACTGAAAAGACTTTGGATATAAATTTGCAGGCACCAACATTATTTGAAGGCCCATGGGGATGCCCTCCCATCTACAACAAGGGTATATTTAGTTTCAAAAAAATTAAGTTCATAATTTTAAAAATATGTTGTATTATTTGAACATGGGTTGGACTTAATGAAAATAGCAATTAAACATTTGCAGGTCTCCCAAAATTTGAAGGCTAATGAAAAAGTATAAGCTCCAATATGGCACTGCAGTCAACTAATCTCACTGGAATGTATTACAAATTGTCAGTATGGTACCAACTCCAATATAGTTTCAGTAGCCACTTAGGGCACAACCACAAGCCGGCATATTGTTTCAATTACAACCAAGAATTGAAATGTTGATAGTATAGATCAAAAACATCATTCAAAATATAGTTCCAGTAGACTTTAATTAATTACATGATTATTTCATTGAAATGTTGATAGTATAGATCAAAACTATTGTAATAAACTATTTTTTTTCTCCCATAGATGCCTGTTTTATTCTTCATGGCTTGCTTAGAGAAATATTGAGTATCTAATTACATATGCTTTGGGATTTCTAAGACCCTTTAAATGTAGCTTTACTGCTAAGAATCCATTGATTTTCACTTTCTCTTGGATCTTGCTGAAGAGTTCGTGAGCTGGAACTTACTAGGTCATTTGAGATTATGAACTAAAGGTCTGTGTTAATAACTTGTTGGTAAATTCAGAACAGGAGATTAATTTCTAATTTTCTATCAAATGCCAGTCTTGTAACTTGGTGATAGACAGGAGTATTGGTGGAGCAGTTGGAGCTGGTGGTTTAATTTTGTATTGCAGGCCCAACTATCCTCTTTTTTCAGGAAAATGCTGGAAGTATCCTTTTCTTGTTATTTTGGGTGATGTTTGTTCTTTTCAAATTTCTTATCATTACTTAGTTACACTTGGTTTAGCCTTAACTAGTCAACTTCAGATATTGCCCATCGTCTTGAAATGGTCCGCATATTGTTACAACGATTGAACTGCAATGTTTTTATGCTTTCATACCGAGGGTATGCAAATTATTGAATTTACCCCCTGTAGTTTGCCTTAGCAATAACTTTTTGATGCATACTAAGCTTATTTTTTCTTGTAAATAGATATGGTGCTAGTGATGGATACCCTTCTCAACATGGAATAACATAGGACACTCAGGTTTTGTATGCCCCCAGAACTTCGTCTCACCGTTTTTCATGCATATCATTCAGTTTGAGTTCTAATATATGATGTTGTCTTCCATATAGGCAGCATTAGATCATCTGGTTCAGAGGACAGATATTGATACATCAAGAATAGTTTTGTTTGGAAGGTCACTAGGTGGAGCAGTTGGAGCTGTGCTTACCAAAAATAATCCTGATAAGGTATCAGTCCAATGAATTTGTTGACTTTATTTATATAAAAATATGCATGCTACCTGATTGTAGTTATTTATTTCTAAGTCTTGTATATTGCTTATTCCTTTACTATGAATCTGTGTCTTCTGGTAATTGGCTAAGCACCTGTAACCTTGGAGATCTAAGATCATTATTGAATCTGCTTTCACCTTCTTCTTTTGTAGTGGTTTAAATGATATTCTGTTTCTCTGTTTTACAATATACTGATGCAAATCCACCTTTAATAACACGTGTTCCATGGTTTCTCCCATACTTCAGATCATGCAGACGCTCATTTGAAGATCTCTGAACTTGGGTAAGGATCTCTACTTTGTGATAGCTTATTTGTTTCAAGAGGTAGTTGTTTCATTGCAAGTCTTTCTCTTAAATGTATTTATAATTTTTTATTTGATAAAACCAAAATGACGAGCTATAGGCAAACTTTATGGATTTTATACTAATGTGAAACAATGAGCTCGGTGGCCAGATAAACTTCACTAAATATTTTGTATTATAAGTTTTTGGTGCAATATTTGTATTGGCGTAAAATGTGAGGTTCAGTATGCTATAAGCATGAATGTCTATTAGACTATTATTTTTGTTTTATATGTTTTTCTAATTTGGCAGCTGCTGCTGGATTGGCTGATGAAGCTGGTAGCAGGCCACATTTTTTATTTATTTATTAAATTACTTTCCGACCACCAAATGGTCGGAATTTATTTTTTTAACTAACTAAATAACTTTCCGACCACCAAGTGGTCGGACATTCCGGCCACCTGGTAGTCGGAAACTACACGACATTACTTTCCAGCCTACGACCAATTTTTCCGACGACGTTAGTAGAGTGGATGGTATTTCCGATAACTTGATGTGGTGGTCGAAAATACCGAGGGGGATTTTTCCGAATCTCCAAAGTGATCGGAAAATTGGTCGGAACAAGGTTTTCCGACCGAATTTTGATATTTTCCGACCACTTTTTGGTGGTCGGAAAAACGCTGATTTCCAGCAGTGAGAGAGGTAGAGACTATGAGATATGAATTCAGTGATATAGTTTGATTTGTGTATATGTGTTTTTTGTGTTACTTTTTTAGAATTAAAAGTGTATACATATGTCTGTATTAGACACAGAATTATCCCACGTAATACACAAAATGTTACTTCGTAATACACATAAATATACATTTTACTCCATAACATGTTGAGAGATAGAAACCATTTGGGTTAATTATCAGCCTTCAACATGTACAGAATTATAACATGTAATACACATAATTTGACTTCATAATACACAGAATTATAACCCATAATGTACAGAGATTGAAAGTCCAATTATTTAATTATCAACCTACATGCAATTCTGTGTATTCATCACTGTCGGGCATGAATGCATAGTCTGAGATTAATTTTGTGTATTCATCACTGCCTGGCATGAATGCATAGTCTGAGATTATCTTCTCTCTAGATGAAAGATTTTTGAATGAAGAATGAGCTTTGAGCATAGCACCTTGTAGACAAAATAGTCAGTTTTAGCAACAAAATAGTTGTTATTCGAAAGATGCATGTGTAATAATTTTTACCAAGTCCTTTAGTGGTCTAACACAGCATTCCAAATGAGACCATAAACAAATATTTTATTAAGCACAAAAGAAAAAGAGCATCTGTACAAGTTCCCTATGGCCTGGACTTTTAGATGTCTAAGGATACAGAGCACTAATAATACTTCAATTCTGCAATAAGTTCTCAATCCGTATAATAATAGAATGAATAGACATGTTTTCAGATCTTAACACTAAGGAATATAATAAAACCTGCCACTTTTGTCTCAGACAGTTCACAAATAGTCTCATTACAAACCAGTATTATGTTTCCAAGCCTCTCAAATTAAGAAGTTTCTCATTTTTCCCTCATCATCTTAAGAACCTGAATTTATCTTTTCTTTATCCACAATAAACTAACCGTTCTAGAGAGAGACCAGTGTTTCCAATACAATAGCATTCATTGATGAGCAACATAATACAAAAAATAGAAGAAAATACCAAATACATGCACATAATACATAGGTAAATATCACCAAGTACACGCTTCAAAGATCCTATCATGATTAATGCTTTTCAGAAACAAAGAATAATTGTGATCAACCTTTAGCTCAGAAATGCACATTTCACATTTTAGTCCCAAAAGAAAAACTTACAAGTCAAAGGCAACAATTCTAGCATATTTTTTCAAGATTCCGGTGAAAAGTGCAGACCCATAATCCAAAAAATAATAATAATACCATTTTCCTTTTTTTTTTTTTCACAAAAGCAGACAATATCTTTTGCTCATACACAAAACCAATCACTCTTTAAGACAAAAATTCAGAACATTAACTCGAGTACTCGATATAGAGAGGTTGTGAGGGGAAAAGAGAGCATATAACGTCGAAATTCATTACGTCTGACGATCTTGTTGGTGCCTTTGATGGCGTAAGAATCGAGGTCCTTCCTTCCCGGGTTTCAAACTACGCACCTTTTAAGTAGGGGTTCGAATAGGCCAGGTCCATTCGTAGAGGCCTAAGGCCCGGCCTATTTAAGGCCTACATAGGCCAGACTTGGGCCTATTTTGAAGTCTATTAAATTAAATAGGATAACTTGGCATTTAGGCCTGACCTATTTACAGACATATATATAATTTATTTATAATATTAAGTTAGTATATATTCTATTTTATACCTAATATATTTTTATATTTGCAATATAATTCCAAGTATATATAATTATCAAACTCTAACCCTCCACCTCCAAAATCACATTCTAAATTCTTATTCAACTATAAACATTGTTATTAATCTTATTATAAGTGTTCTTATTGTTTAATTGTTCTTACTGTTAAATATTTAATGAAGTGTCACGACTTAATTATGTGAGTTGATTGTTAACTATTTATGACATTATATATGATGACAATCAATAATACAATTGAATTCACTCCTAAACAAGTTATCAAACATGTTGAAGTTGTAACTTGTTTTATTTTATTTTATATATTTGTAATACTATTATGTTTGCATTGTAGTGATATACTTATGTAGTTATATATTAATTTTGTATTAGCTAGGTATATTTCTTAAATTATTTAGAAATACTTGTTAAAGTTTTAAAAAAAGACTCAAAGCAGAACCTACTTTGAAGCCTTTTTAATGACTTACATATTAAACAGGCTTTTAAAAAGGCTTCAGGCCAGGCCAGGCTAATTGTAGGCTCAGGCTTGAGCTTAACAAAAAGCCTACATGGCTTAGATATAGACCCATGCCTAATTTTCTAAAGCTCGGCTCAGATCGACCTATTTTCACCCCTACTTTTAAGTACACAAACAACACACCTAAGGTTTTAAAATGGCTCACCTAGTTTCACACAACTAACACACCTTGGTTTGCCGTTTTATCCGAGGGTAGAAGCCTTAGGGAGGAGTTGACAAGTCAAATTGAAGTCCTTGTTATCTTTTGGGATAAAAAAGCAAACCAAAGTCCTTTATTCCTCCTTTGGAAGGAATTCAAATTTTGGTCCCATTTGGAATCCAATTTGAATTTGGGTCCTGGTCGGAGAAAGCACCCTGAAATTGAAAGAATCATAAACATGAATGGAAAATCTAAGATGGGTGGATACGAGAAATGCGTACATGAAATATTGGACCCTGGAGAAGGAAATACGAAATTAGGGAGACCGACTATCTGAGGACTGAAATTCGGACTTTGATAGTCCGAATATTTTCAATTGTTTTTTTGTTCTTTTTTGTTCTTCCTGATTCTTGTTTGCGGAAATAAATGGACACAAATAATGATAACTAAATGATTTAGCAATAATTTGGTTGATTTGATTAAAAGTAAAAAATTATGATTGTAATGGAATTTGGACACCAATAATCCGAATAATTTTTATTTATTTTTTTGTTCTTCCCACTTCATGTTTGCGGAAATTAATGGACCCCCAAATAAGAAGAAGGTCCATGCTCAGTATGTACAAGGTCCATACTTCATATCATAATTACAATTTATATGAAAATTTTGGATAATTATAAATAGAAACAAAGCATTATTTTATTGATGATTCAAAGTTGGACAGTGCAGGGAAGAATGAGTTGTCCTCCGACAATTCTTACATCTTCTACTTCGATTTGTACTAAAGTCCATTTCATTTGGATACCTACGTGTTCGGCATTGGCCTCGTTGATTTGGTGGCCTAGCAGAAATTGGTGGAAGGCAAGTAACTGGACCGGTACACTGAGTTCTTTCGTCTACTTGGTAGAAATTTCTGGCATAACAGTTCTTGTAGTTTTGTACGGAGTAAACTTCTGGCACTAATGGGGCAAATCCTTGCCCTCGGTAATTGCATGCTGCAATCACATGTGCACATGGTATGCCGTTCACGTTCCACAATCCGCAGTTACACGTACGTTCCGTCAGGTTAACTTGAAAATGATTTGGTTGACTCTAAGAGACATAACCAGTACTTAGGGTAACACCATAGATTCCGAGTACGTCATTGAACCGTTGAATGCTTGCACCACTTGCTTCATTGTTTCGAGCTGACAAATCATCGGTAATCTTTGTCGTGAAAAGCAGTCCGTGTTGCTGCATCCCATCACCCGCAGTACGCCTGTCAGCAAACATAGTCCGTAACTTGTGAAAAGTCATTCGGACTATTGCCGTGACAGGTAACATCCGACAACACTTAAGTGAATTATTAAGTGACTCAGATGGATTGGTTGTCATGATGATGTACCGGTGACCAACGT